CACGAGTGTGTTGTTTTGGATTAGACTCAACAAGCGTCTTCAAAGCATCATTATCAATTCCAACAGGTCGGCCCCTGTCATCACAGTTTTTAAGACTAAAGTAACCTGAACGAAATTTATGAACCATCGTTGACATTAACGAACGTTCAAAACATTTCCATAAACTTCTTTGATAGTCTGTGTGGCTACAGAGACGTTGTTTCCCTTCTGTATTCAAACAGCATTACATGCCGAGTGTGTGTCTCCTCGTGTACCATCACTATAAGGGATTAGAGTATACTAAACTTTACACGTTATATAGGCTACACTAACGTGACGTTTAGGCAGTTTGAATAAGTATTATAATTGGTGTACGTTTTTTGGGAGATGGTTAATGAAAGTGTTTCAAAACGCGATATTAATTTCTTGACGACCTAATATGTTATAGCCCAGGTCTGTCGAGCTCAGGTTTTAAGTGAAAGACCTCAGCAGCAACAATATAAAACAGATTGTGTTGTTAAACTGTACTGTATACTATTGTAACTGAAAACCCGTATTGAGAGGTATTATCAGTCTTACTGTGTTGTAATACCACAGTCATTTCCTCTTAATGATTATGCTTTGCCAGTTTAGGCGTGCTAAACATCAAATTTGGAATGTGTTAATTAGTTATAATATAATCACACAAAAGAGCATTTAAGGTGAAACAGCTATGCACATAAAAAACGAACACCAAATGTTTCATGTCGTTCACAGCCAGTGGCATAGCAAGAGGGGGAAAGGGGGCAGTCGTCCCCGGACGCAGGTGTGAAGGGGCGCAAGATTTCCTTTGGCCTATAATGCCTATTAATTAAAAAAATATGCCCTCCCCTACGATATAGCGCAACTGTCCAACGTTAAGTAAATACGACACAGTGTTAAGTTATTTGTGTGTATTACGCTTGCTTGCGGTTTTAACTTTTAAAAGCCGCCCACTGAAATACAGTGAGACCGAATTGACGTACAGAAGTAAATTACACTATTCCCTCATTCATCTGTAGATCAAATACAAGTCCTAGAGTACAACGTACAAGTAAGTGTATGTTCAACAAAAAGAAAATACGAGACTGATGTAACATATTAACTGGTGAGCAAGATTGGCAATATATGCAACAGATAAGGCCTAGATCTAGATCTAGAAAACATTATAGGCCTAATGTAGTGGTTTGTAATTGTATTGGCTGAGTGTAAATCATGTCTTACACCAACTAATGCAGGTCTAATTGCGGTTATAACTTTATTTCTGAACCCTAGGTCCATCATCATACAAATTGTAGCCTATATTATAGGCATACTTAGACCTATACTAACTATTAAACTAGGCATTGCACTGGGACAGATCCATTGACTACTTTAATAGATCTAGATGTAACATTTGTTCTAAAAGCTAGGCCTAATAAATCTAAATCTAGAATTGATGAGGCAGGGTTATATCTAGATATGGGTAGATTCAATACAATGTGCTTTCAATGTATGAACCCAAATTTAAGGTCTAGTTTAGATGTATAAAGTTAAATTTATGTCATTATTATTACATCCAGATCCAAACCTAAGATTAAAAAGATAGAAATAACAGGTCTAACATTAATGTTAGATCTAGATGTACTAGCGACTTAATTTAGGAACTGTAATCTAGCACCACTAATTAGTTAGCCTATATTTAAGTTTTCTCATTCTATCAAAACCTTTAATATTAAATATAGCCTTTGAGCTTCTAAGCTTACATTATGTTATGATTACACCTTTCTCCACAGTGTGTGTAATTTTCATTCGAGCAACTTCAGACTTGTCTCCTGTAGTGTTCGTGTAGTTAAACCTATCGAGTTTTTAAATGTGATTTAGTAACTACCAGTAATTTATATGGTGCTCATAAGCATGATTTACTAGCATATACACTCATCTACATTAATTTTCTTACTGTTGTGTCACATTAATTAACAAAAGTATGGGTGGTCTAAATAATGGCAGTTAAAGTGAAACCAGGTCCAGATGTGCCTAACTAGTCCTGAGTTACAACTATAATTGTATAATTTAAATGTAATTTATGGTTAGGAACTTAGGAAAATAGAACACTTCCTTTCATCTGACAATTTCATGTTGCAACTAAATAGTGTAGTCAGTATTTATTAATTTATTCTTTTAGCCCATTATGTCGAAAAAAGAAAGTGGGGCACATGGACGCAAAAGACGTGCACAATTTGCAGCTTCGATAGTGAAGTCTAGCAAATTGATGAGAATTTTCCTTGCTGGAAGTGATGACACCAGTAAGTCAGCATCTGTTCCTTTTGATGGCAGCAAAGAGGTCAAAGTGCAAGATTGAGAACATGCTATTTCATTTGTAAAAGAAAACAACGAAGAAACTTTTCTCTGTCCTGTTGAAAGCTACAATAATAATGACAAGAGGATTCCACTTTGTCAGAAACAAATCCACAGAATAGTGTTGCTAAGCTAAAAAAGGATTACCTACTAAATATTTTAACACACAGGGATATTGGATTTATGAAGTTAGATACAACAGGCTCAGCAGTTGTAACAAATGCGCATTACACAGAGATTGTTAAAGTTGGGGCACATGAATTTCAACATAAAGAAGGTCCATTTGATGCCAAAGATGAGCGTTCTATGACTGCATTTTGGTTCAAACGACGCCTTCTGAATGAACAAGATATCAATCGTGCCTGGTTGGTGTATTCACCTCTACATAAAACAGCATACTGCTTTTGTTGTCTTCTTTTTCATCTACATGTATGACATCCGATAGTCGGTCTGCTTTCAAAACATGGAGTGGATTCTCTAAGTGGAAGAAAATTTAAAAGTTAAATGCCTATGAAAATAGTGACAGTCATCGTGAGTCATTTGCTGCTTGGAAAGAAACTGAGCGCCGAATTCGTCTTCAAAGTGGCATTGATGACAAATATATATCTGTTTATTTGTTTAAGTAAAAAGCTACACAATGGGCTATCTATGCTGTGCATACCACAGGATCAAACCCAGAATGTTTGCGTTATAAGTCCCCAAGCTTCCGCTCAGCCACCAAAGGTCATAAATACAGGATTGAATGAGCAAAACAGTACAGTTCGTTTATATAGTCCTCATGCGGGTCAGCCATAAATTTACTGACTTACAACGCCAAAATCCAGGACTCGATTCCTTGCGGTGGACAGTACACAGATAACCCATTATGTAACTTTGCGCTGAAAACCCAAAATGACAGTAATCGTTTAATATAAGGCACTGCGCAGGTCGTTTCGCAATTTCAGTTATACAGTACGTTGATCTTGAATTCTAAACATAAAAAAAATCCTGCAACATGACTGCTCTTAGCAAAATGGGAAAATCAAAACAATTTAAAAATATATAAGTATCGTATCACTACAAATATCCATGTGAGATTTATAAACAAGTGTGTTTTTTATCTTTATATAATCAAAAGATAGCGTTTTTTTATGTATGGAAGTACAAAAATGGGATAAGTAACTATAAAACTGAGTGTTGTAGTTTGGAGTTGAGTTGGCATATTCACCAATGTAATGAACAGTCATCGCCCTCTCGACACCCACCTTCACGTCACTGATTGGCTAGAGGCATGCGCTGTGTATTGCAGTTCGAAGCAAAAATGATGTATGCTTGAGGTAAACCTGATGCCTTTGTATCTATATAAACTAAGGCATTCTTCATTCACTTCTTCAAGTCGCCTCCAGGCTATTTTGTCCACGAATTTCTACACCTACAAGAAAGGTAAGGACCTGTGTCACTTTCTGGCTTGCTTTGATACAGTTTAACAGAATTTTTATAATGTATTCTGTTGATATGATTCACGGAATATATCGTTGAGAATAAATACATTAGTTTGTTGAAAATGGAATCGAGCTTAATTGACTAATTAAACTTTTATGTGATAGATACCAACAAACTCCGTATTTGTTATTGTGAAAATTGTACTTTAGCTATAAATCCGCAATATTAATTTGTACATTTGTCTTTATTATGAACGTTGTCTATGTTTTATTAATTTTTTATTTTGCAGAAGATAAGAAGCTTTTAACTAAACTGTTAACAGCTACAAATTATTTTGTAGCAATCGTTTAATTGTTAACACATACAGACTTAAAATGCCCTGGAATGAATTTATTGTATCTGATTGTACGAGGACGGATTTTGTTTGAATACTACCCTAGTAGAAGTTAATTTTATCTTTTCCTTTATGATAAAATATAAACTCTCACTTGTTTTTTTTTTTTTTAAGTTAAGCACAAAGCTACACAATGGGCTATCTGTGCTCTGCCAACCACGGGTAT